AGAAACGAAACATTTATTTAGCTAGAGGGAGCCAACAGCGGCCATGAGGTCCATCGTGTCTTGATTCCACTACTGAATCAAGCGCAGGAATGGCTACGAGGAAGCAAATTAGCGGCTGCATATGCGACAATAGCTGGGCATATTACAGAAGGAAAGGCGAGAAACACAGAGCGGTGGGGAGTGTATAACGGTGAAATATGCAGATAAGCAGATGCTCCAGAAGCCAGTAGAGAACGGTACATGGATCAACCGATAAAGAAACAAATGAAGCAGAGAGTCCCGCTAGGATAGCAGCTTGCGTGGCTGTTGAGTGCTCAAAGTGTTTACAATTCCACTCCTGGGAGCCTGAGGGTGTCGTACGAGAATCATACGGATGTATTGCATCCCACAAGCGCATGAATATGCTGGAGAGGCGTAGGTCTACACTGTGTGTACATCTGGAGTAGATGTAGAGACTACGTAGTGTGTACTTACTGTACACAGGTCCTAAGATGCTTACAGCTTTGTGCAGCAACAAGGAGAAGGCAGAGGCTTCTTCGGGAGCAGCCGCGGCCTCTTCAACGGTACGATGCGTGCGTGTGTGTATAGAAGTGAGTCACTGCGTACTGCTGTTAAGCACTCGGGTCTGCGCGTTGCAGCAGAGCCGGTGAGCACTTTATGNGTGAGTCACTGCGTACTGCTGTTAAGCACTCGGGTCTGCGCGTTGCAGCAGAGCCGGTGAGCACTTTATGCTGTGGGTGGGAGGTAGAGGCGCCAGCGATAGGCCGGCTAGGAATTTGAGACGTACCTTAAAGGACAACGAAGGGCGTTCCTGACGTCTGCCTATAAATGTTTCCCCGCGTTACTAGATGATCCTGAAGGCAGGTTTGTGCAGTTCAGTTGTGCAGGGAGTTGTCCACTGTTGGTGAGGAAGGCTTCATTGTTGCAAGTCATGGCAAACCAGGAAATACGGTCAAGACCATCTAAAGAAGCAGTACCCTACACCTCTCCGTATCTATATAGATTGAGGAGCAAATATTCGTGATCCACTGCGCTATTAACGCTCGATTGTGCTGAACGGCACGTAGGAAATACGTCTAAATTGTGAATAAAAGATTAATAAACAATAGTGTAGAGTGACAATATTATGTGGCGCATTCAGTTCGGACGACCAGGCAGCAGTTATCCGGATTGGTGGGTCCCGGCTCCAGTGTATGAGACATGACACCTGTCTTTGATACGGCCTCTTCGCGCTCTGTGCAGAAGGGACGTTTAGTTCTGGTATTCTTACGAGTTGGACTCAACGGGAACGCTAATAATGAGTGAAGCATTTTATGTATGTGTAAGAACCCTTGCTTGGTCTTACAGATCGTCCGTGATGTTAGGCGTAGTAAATGCCTGAGGTCAACTCGTAGAGTATCAGGGGCTCTACAGGGAGTCCATCGTAAGGAACAGCTCACTCTGCTGTTACTACTCTTCCGTTGTATGCCTACCTTCACGGTGCACACTCTACACCCAAATCCTACACTCAATGACCATTGCCCAA